AAATATCACCGCACTACATCTGAAAGATAAAGGCAATTTGCACCATAAAATAACACTATACACATGACCTGCGTACAATCCTGTTCTATTATTTAAAACAATTTTACCTCTGCTGCAGATTTGGTTTAATTCCGGCCGAACCGCTTCAATTAAATTCGCCACTTTTTCCGAATCAGTCCGTCCCAGTTTCACTTCCATGTCGTACAGATGGGCCCGTGCAAAAAATGGAACCACTGACCAATCTACAGGTTTGTTGACCTTTTGCGTTTTACTTCTTCATAAATCGTTTTGACTTTTCTTCAACTCTTTTCTGTTCTCCTCTGTTCTCCAACTCAGCTATTCTCCAGTTCTCCAGTTCATGCATTATCCGCATCTGCAGGTTGCAATCAAAAATGATATTGGTGTATTTTATTTTGCAACCGTCGTACCGCTAAGTGTGTATTTTGATGAAAGTGGCCAGATGGACAAACGTGATTTCTTGCAAATGTGGAAAGAAATACCAGAGCAAAATGAAGTACAATTCACAATCAACAACACCAAGGGTCTCACTGCTGGTAAGCTGATTGTAGCATGCAAATAATGTTAAGAACTTAAACGGGTAGGCATGGACCGAATTATGTATGGATGGATGTAGAAATATAGCTGGTATGGAAAGAACTAAATACGAGAGAGTTACGACGTCTCGGTCCATTAATTCATGTACGTCTTAGCTTAACACCACGACTGGACCGCGTCAGTAGACGGTCATTGTGTTCAGAGATAAGAAGGTGTTCAGAGATGGTAAGTTATGCGTGCTTATTTTTGATACTTTAAACTGCTGCTTCACGAAACTCCTGGTCTGAGTTGGGAGGAATACTGTTCAAACGTATTTGTGCGAAAAACAGACATGAAAGAGATTCATAGCTGATATATTGATGGCGAGAAGGAGATGAACAATGATGATGATAGTGATATTTGTAAAAAAGAAAAAAAAAACTATTGTCTTTTGCCAAAACGCAACTCTCGCTTATACGCGGAAGAGACTGATGGAAATGTTCCGAGGGTAATTATATGTATATTTTGGAATGAAATTAATAAAGTGTGGTACTTCTATGTCACTGTGCGGTACATTTCTTTTTTTTTTTTGGTAAGAGCTGTTGAAGTTGCTGATTTATAGACGATATATGCACGAAGCTGCAGCAAAACAACGTATTCACTGTGGCACGCCGAAATGTGGAAGGACAAGAATTGCTTTATCATTCCATCAAATATACCAATCAAATCTATGTTCTCTCGGAGCTTAAAATGCAGGATGCATTACAGCCTCTTACGGTAAGCAATCTTTTTCATTACAGAAAGTAGCATAACTTTTTATCCTAAGAATGGGATATTTGTTCTAGTTATTATGCGTTTTTTGCAGCAACGCAATGCGAAAAACGCATATTGACGAGAGGTTGTCTGTATGTGTGTGTGTGTTTGTGTGTGTGTGTGTCTGTGTGTACGCTGGGCCTTTGTACCGATTTTTCACCTCGAGACCGGCAAAAGCTACGGGGCTGAAACTTTGGGGACTTAATCTAC